GAGGAGGGATTCGCTGCTCTCTGGTGTCCCTGCGGGCTGAATTTGGTGGCCCTTTCCATGGGGACGCAGGGAAGGCCCCTGGGAAGAGTCATGGGAGCTGAGGGGCAGAATTTGGACAGGGTTTGGCAGAGTTTCGCAATGGGGCAGACTCCTGGGGTGTCACCACTGGGATGCCACTGCCTTGGTGGGACGGTGTCTGCCCCAGAGCACCGGGGCAGAGTCTGCAGCAGCAGCTGCGTTTTGGGACTCTCCTTCCAGGACGGGTAGGGGTTTGGGTAGGGGACTGAGAAGAGGCCACCCCCAGGCTCAAGAGAATGTTCCAGCCGGGGGACAGAGGAGAAGCCCCCATTCCCGATCCACCGCCGGGCGCTGGGATGCGGGAAGCGCCGTCTCCCCCACGCCCTGGTGCCAAAGCCCCTCTCCCACGCGCGCTCCGCTCGCCCTTCCGTCCCTGTCTCCGTGTGTCCGTCCCCACTAACGCCCCTCGTCCTGGCCCCGTGCCCCGCTCCGTGCCGCCCCCGTGCCCTCCGCAGGTGCCCGAGGGCCTGTGCGCCAGCTCGCCCACGCTCACCAGCCCCGTGGAGTACCAGTCGCCCGCGAGCTCCCTGCGCACGCCGCCGCTCAACCTGCACCATGCTCTGCTTCGCTGCGCCTGCTCCTAGATGCTCCCGGCTTCCCCACGGGAGGGTCGGAGCCTCCGTGCTGCCCCCGAGGGCTCTTCCCTCTTCCACGGTGTCACCTCCCCGCGAAGGCAGCTCCCGCGCGCGGTTTGCATGCGCCGAGCGGGACGCCGTCCCCCGGTGTCACCGCGCTGTCACCGCCGCCTCTCGCCCTGCCAGGAGGAGGATTTCCTGCGGCCCAGCAGCAGGGAGGAGGCGCAGAAGCTCTGGGAGCTGGAGCGCCTCAGGATGCGCCAGGTCCTGGACAAGCAGCAGAAGCAGATGCTGGAGGACTACCAGTGGCTGCGGCAGGAGGAGAAGTCCCTGGTGAGCCCCAGTCCTGCCTGGCTTTGTCCCCCGCAAGGCGCCCTGCAAAATGTCCCTGCTTACAGCAGCGCCTCGGGGACATTTTTCCCCCTGAACATTTCACAGCGTGGCTTTTCCACTTACTGCAGTCATTAAGGTCACTTTTCACGGCTGGAAAACCTGGTTTTCCCCAGGAAGAACGGCCGCTGGCGTAGCCAAAACGCCTGCACCTCCTTATTTTCCGCACTGTGTTAAAAATTTTGCAGAGAGGCTTTGGGAAATGAATATTTTGAAACTCAGGGAATTTTTAAATCCTTGCAATCTCATTTTAATGGGCTTTTGTAACACTTTTTAAATAAGGAATTAAGATAGCTAATGGGTGACTAATGCATCAGCTTTTAGTGAGACAGGCCTGGAAGAGGAAAAAAAAAAAAAAAAAGGATCTTTTATTAGATCAACTGACGTAGCTGGAAAAGAACCAACCCAATTTTCAGCAGCACCACCCTGATCTGGGGGCCGAAGCAGCTGTACGTGATGAGCAGCTGGAGGCAATAGCTTGAATTAATCTTAATTATTTTGAGCCGCAGTTGGAGGAGGCTGGTGGCCCTGGGGCAGGGGAGCAGATGGGAAGGATGGGATGGAGCTGGGGAAGCTCTTCCTTGTGGAGCAGGTAGCGGGATGCAGGGGGAGCAGGATGGGCTGTAAAGCCTGCAACTGTCCCCTATCCCTTGGCCCAGCAGAGCTGGGAAAATGTGTTCCCATCATTTGTTTCCACGGGTTTCCCAGAGTTTGGTCCTGATGGATGAGCAATGCTTTTTCCTGGCCCTTGTCAGGCAGCTCAAGAGGGGCTGGTGCTGCTTTCCCTGCTCCAAAGTTGTGGGATAAAGTCAGAAAATGAGGAATTTTTGCTGGGGAGGAGAGGAGCAGCTCTGTGCGCTCGGTCCCGCGTTTCCCCTGGTGTCCCATGTCATCCAGCGAGGCGGCCGCCCAGCCGGGTGAAAATCCGTGTGAAATCAATGGGGAGAAAGCCAAAAATCCCCACTGAGCCTTGTGGAAACCAGCTAGAAAAGAGGGAGTCGCTCAGAGCAACTTCCTGGGAAACCTGGAGGTGTCTCCCAGCCCCATTCCCCCCGGGACAGAGCTGGGAATGGGGCAGCACCTCCCGGTTCCCCCCGATCCTCTGGCGAGTCTCTTCCCGCTTTGCAGGACCCCACGGTGTTCATGAACAACAACCTCCCTCCGGTGAGTGGTACCAAGGGGGCTTGGGGGGACGCCGGTGGCCGGGGGCGCAGCGGGACCTTCTGCTGGGGACACCGGTGGTGGCAGCGCTGCCGTGTCCGAGCGCCCCAGCACTGCCCATCGCTGTTTTATTGGGGGGAAAACACACCCGGAAACGTTAAGGGGTGAACCCTGCTGGTCCTGGCGCGGGCCCTACCGAGGGGTTTCTCCTCCGTCTTCGCTGCCTCCACCTGCAAGCTGCGGCCTCTTAACTTGCTCCGTGTTTCTTCCCTCGGCAGCTGCTCCCGGAGAAGGAGACGGATTACAGTGAGTGCCGCGGCCGTGGGGCCGGGCGGGGGGCAGCCCCGGGGGTCTCCCAGTGGTGATGCTGCGGGACGGGGCAGCATCCTGGGCAGTGACCCTCCTTCCTTTCCCTTACTGACGCCGTAGCGGAGTTCACGGGACCACCGCAGAAGCCTCCGCGCCTCGGCGCCCAGGTGGGGCCTCCCGGCACCGTGACACCCCCATCCCGCTCCTCCCGGATGTCCCGGGAGCCTGGAGGCAGCTCCGGGCCTTCCCTCCGGCTCTCCGGTGCCCCTCGTGTCCCCGACACCCCCATCCCGCTCCTCCCGGATGTCCCGGGAGCCTGGAGGCAGCTCCGGGCCTTCCCTCCGGCTCTCCGGTGCCCATCGTGTCCCCCCTTTCCCGGCAGTCCCTCCAGCCGGCCCCCACGGCCAACCTGGACCGCACGGACGACGCGGTGTACGGCAACGTCATGGAGCTGGTGCGCTCCGTGCTGCAGCTCAAGAACGAGATCAGCCGCCTGCCCCCCGAGGGCTACATCCTGGCCGTGAAGGTAGGCAGGGAAGGGGCTTCCCCACGGCAGCGGGGGGCTGGCTGCTTCCCCCAGCGTCCTCCTCGGGAAGGCCCTACGGAAGGGAGCGTTTTCCAACATTCCTGGTTCCTGCATCGCGTCCTTGGGTCAATAACGGGGGCGTTTCCAGCATTCTCCACTTCTCCCCGGGCCCTGGAGTCGGTGGGGCGTTTCCCACCGTGTCCTGGTCCCCATACGGTCGCCGAGCCCGCAGCACGCGCTGCTCCACGCCGGGAGGATCCAGGCGCGCGCCGGAGCCTGGAGCCATCCCGGCCCTCCCGCCTTCCCCGCAGAACGTGGGCCTGTCCCTGCGGAAGCTCCTCGGCAGCGTGGACGAGATCCTGCCCCTGCTCCCCGCGGC